ATCTTCTCCGCAGTCTTTACCACTCTCTGCAGGTGTTTGCGGTCCATAGCAGTAGTGCTGCCATACCAGACAGTGATGCAGCTGGTCAAGATGTTCTCAATGATGCAGCTGTAGAAGTTGAATAGGATCCTAGGTGACATGCCAAACCTCCTCAGCCTCCTCAGGAAGTACAGCCGCCGTGTTAAGTGTCCAGGTGAGGTCCTCACTGATGTGGACTGTATTGGCAATTTTATGGTAGCACGCTTTGAGTTTATTGGCTGTGGCTTTGAAGTCATGGTATGCAGGCATTTGTGTGGTTGTGACCCCAGACTGTTTATTGTGTCAGCATGTTCATAAAGATTTCCTGCCTTTGTGTGACTGCTGCACCAGATGGCTTGTATCCTGTTAGAACTGGTATCTTGTCTTCAGAGTTGATGTTAAGTTTTTATTTTACACTGACTGACCTTTAATAGATAATTTTGCCACAACAGGACGCCCAGGTATTTGAAGCTGCCTCTCCCTCTCCACTTCAAGCCCCCGGATTAACAGTGGCTGATGAGTTCTCCTCTCCTTCCTCATGTCCACTATCATCTCCTTTGTCTTGTCTGTGTTGAGGCTGAGATTACTGTCCTTGCACCATGACACCAGACCGGCCAGCTCCCTCCTGTAGGCTGCTTCGTCCCCGCCAATGATGCGACCTATCACTGCGGTGTCGTCTGCGAACTTTAGGATGATGTTGTCTTTGTGGGAGGCGACACAGTCGTGGGTGAACAGGGTGTAGAGCACATGTGTCAAACTCAAGGCCCGTGGGCCACATCCGGCCCCCGTGAGATCAGTTTATATATCCTTTTTTAATGCCCTGGCGATATGAAGCGCCGATAACACACACAAACTACAAATCCCATAATGCAGCGCAACAGCTGCCTTACCAAACAATAGGCTACCTGGCACCATTCCCGTGTCAATTACGTCAGATCAATCAAGCGTCTGTTGATGTATACAACCCTAATTTCAAGTCATTCAAGCAAACAATCTGACCCCTTGTAGAATGGACCATGGTAGTGATTTCCCTCCATCTACCTGAATGTGAGCTGTAGCTCAGAATATCCAAGTGTGGTTTTTACCTTAAATCCACACAGTGTGCTGTATAATGTTTTCCCATTGGTGTTTGCTCTCAGTTTAGAGCACGTGTCAAACTGAAGGCCCGCAGGCCACATCCTGAAAGACGTGAATGCAGAGCAGAAGCTACAGAAGGTAGAGGAGTTGAAGAGGAATCTGACATCACAGCAGATGTTTTCACCAAAGCAAAATCACACAGTGAAGCTGCTGTGAAAGCAAGTTTTATTGTGGCAGAGGAGAAAATCACCTCAGCCATTTACCGAGGGAGTTTCTGAAGAGCTGCATGATGAAAGTGTGTGACGTCTTGTGTCCAGACAAAAAGCAGGTGTTTGCAAATGTAAGCCTTAGCAGAAATACGGTTGCTGATTTTAAGTTCAAGTTTATTTATTTTGGAATAATACTGTATCCTGTCTGTTTCCATCCATATTTATGTTAAAAAATGTTTAGTTTTAGTCTGTTCAATAAATTTTTATCTGTCTGTTAAGTCTGTTCGGCACCAACCCAAAGTGTGCTTTGAGTTTTGGCCCCCTGTGCGATTGAGTTTGACACCCCGGGTGTAGAGGATGGGACTGAGGACACATCCCTGTGGGCTGCCAGTGTTTGTAACAATGCTGGCTGAAGTCCTGTTGCCAATCCTGACAATCTGGGGCCTGCCGGTCAGAAAGTCCAGGAGCCAGTCACAGAGGGTGGGGTGCAGACCCAGTGTGGACAGTTTGTGGGTGAGTTTGTGGAGGACAACTGTGTTGAAGGTGGAGCTGTAGTCAATGAAGAGTATCCTGATCTAAGAGTCTCCATTTTCCAGGTAAGAAAAGGAATAGTGGAGGGCAGTGATACCATCTCAGGTGGCCCTTTTGGGCCGGTAGGCATACTGCAGGGGATCCAGGGGGGCCAGAATA